GGAGACGGGTCCCAAACCGGTTCCGGGTTAGTGCCCTGGAATCCCTCCCCCGTGACTCGCGGCCTCCCGCCCTGCGCTCAGGCGTTGGCGCGCAGCTCTGTCAGTCAAGTGCGCTCTAGGATAGGATTGGGCCTCAGCGATCAGCCGGCCGCGCGGTTCCGCCTGGCTGGGTCGCTCGCCGCTCCCTCTCCAAACTCGGCTCTTGTCCTTGACCCTCAACTTTTAAAAGGGCAAGTAGGACCCTTGCGCGGCCTCCGCGGGTGCCTAGCCCGGCATCACCTTCTGCTCAAACTACTGCAGCCTAGTCTGGCCTCAGCCATGTCTCTGGGGTTTCCCTTGCCAAGGTCGCCAGTGGTTTCCTTACGGCTAAATCTAGGCATCACTCCTCGGTCCTTATTTTTATTTGACTTGACGCCTCAAAAAACATTTGACTTGTTGACTGTTTCTTCATGGTTTTCCACAATACGTGCTTCTCCCTCCGGGTTTTCCTCCCTCTAGGTCCTCTTTTCTTTTTGTTTAATATTTTTAAAATACTTTTATTCGGGGTGTTTGGAGAGCAGTGGGATGGGATGCATTGATCTTTTGCCTCCTGCACGCCACCTGCCGGGGATGGAGATGGGCATGTGCCACGATCGGAATGGAAGGAGTGCCCTTTCACTGCACTGGGCGATGCCCAACCAACTGAGCCACACTGGCCAGGGCAGAGTATATTCTGTATTTTTGTTTTTTTTAATTATTTTTTTAAAAATTTTTTTAAAAAATAGATTTTATTTTTTACAGAGAGGAAGGGAGAGGGGTAGAGAGTTAGAAACATCGATCAGCAGCCTCCTGCACATCCCCTTCTGGGGATGTGCCCACAACCAAGGTACATGCCCTTGACCAGAATCAAACCGGGGACCCTTGAGTCCGCAGGCCTACGCCCTATCCATTGAGCCAACCCGGTTAGGGCTTGTTTTTTTAAATTCTTTATTGTAGAAAATATATATAATCTTCCCTCCCTCCCTCCACTGACCTGCTCCAGGCCCCCCCCCCCC